TGCAAGCCAAGTGAGGAGAGGGCGAGGGCAACTACAACACTAGTAAGCGCACGAGGGGAGTGTGTTGGCTAAGGTGTGCACGGGAGTTAGGCTGACCAAGTACTTGCGAGAGTGAAAGCAACGTCTTGGTGCCGCACGGGAGCAGCTAGAGTGGTGCTGAAACTCTAAGCCCGTGACAGTTAGTATCAGAGCCAGGTTCACCAAGGGAGCTTTGTTGGAGTAGACATGGCTAGCGGAGGAGACCACCAAGTCCACATCTTAGAGCAGAGCTTGGAGGAGAAGCTTGCCACACACTTGGTCTACACGGAAACCAAGTTTAACAGGCTCGAGAGAAAGATGGCGGAACTCTACGAGCTGATTGACAGCATTGCCAACAAGGCGCGAGAGAAGGAAAGGGACTTGTATGATCAGGTAGACGACTTGCGCATGGAGATTGCCGAGTGTAAGAAGGAGTTCTCCCAGGTGCGCGAGGTCGTGGTGAAGCCAAGGAAGAAGAAGGCGCCGGAGCCCAAGGAGTACGATGGGGCAAGGAATGCGCGCCAGATTGACAACTTCTTCTGGCACATGGAACGGTACTTCGAGTGTATGGAGATCGAGGATGATGAGGAGAAGGTGCAGACAGGCACTATGTACCTCATGGACACTGCTGCTCTATGGTGGAGGCAGCGCTTCACTGGTAGAGGTGCAAGAGCAGTTGACACATGGGAGGAGTTCAAGAGGCAGCTCAAGAGGCAGTTCTATCCTGAGTGCGTTGAGGACCTGGCCATGATCAACCTAAGGCGCCTGAAGCAGAAGGGCAGCATAAGGGAGTATGTGAAGGAGTACTCCAACTTGATGCTGGAGATCCCAAAGATGCCGGAGCGGTAACGTGTGTGTTTGTTCATTGATGGGTTGCAGTCTTGGGTAGCCACAGAGCTGAGAAGGAGGGAGCCTAGAGATTTGGCATCCGCAATGGCTATAGCGGAGCGCCTTGAAGACTTTAGGCGCGATGACAAGAGGGCCACGTCTCCCAAAAGGGACCACGGCAAAGGTGGGGGAGACCGTCGCTTCAAGAAAAGGGGCTCGCCCAAGTCAAGTGATGATGAGCACAGCGATGAGGAGAGACGCCCACGCCATGATAAGGGCAAGGACCATGGAGAGAGGTCTAAGGCTAGTGGCAAAGGGGAGCGCCGCGATAAGGGCAAGTGGGAGCCGAAGTGCTACTTGTGTGAAGGGCCGCACATATTGCGACACTGCCCCAACAAGAAGACCATGAGCGCCCTTGTGAAGGATAAGGGCAAGGGCAGGGTGGACGATGCGGGTAGCGATGAAGATAGGTGCATGGGGGCTATGCAGATGCTGAGTAGCATGGCGCATGACACCAAGAAGAAGGGCAAGGCAAAGAAGGTAGCTGGGGTGCGCTATGTGGATGCGCAGGTTGGTGGCAAAGCCGTGCAAGCGTTGGTAGACACGGGTGCTACACACAACTTCATTACCCCGGATGAGGCGCAACGACTTGGCTTGGAGATGCGCAAGACGGAGGGCTGGATCAAGGCCGTTAACTCCGAGGAGGCACGCGTGAGTAGAGTGTGCAAGGAGGTGGAGCTATGCATGTAAGGATGGAAGGGCAAGGCTGACTTCCAAGTTGCGGAGATGGACGACCACGACATGGTGCTGGGGCTGGAGTTCATGGACAGGAACAACACCGCGCCACTACCATGCCTTGGTGCGTTGATGATACTTGGAGGCGAGGAAGGAAAGGCCGCATGCATGGTGCCGCTCGTGGGCAGGAAGGAGAGTCCAGAGGTGGCAGTCAACACGATGGAGCTCGTGAGGACTTCACATCTCCCGAAGGGCGCTCGTACGTTTGGGCCAAGGACATATGCGCAAGTGCTGATGACCTGCGAGAGGCTGGGTCAGCTGAAGAAACCGTGACGAGGGCGTCACGGAAATGGGTGGGGGAGATTGTCACGCCCCGCCTATGGAGGTTGTGCCACGCAGGCGACACGCAGACGCTGAGGAGGACGCTGCATGGCAACTGCATGGCAAGTGGAGTTTCTAGAGTCTTCCGGAATAGTCTAGAGTTATGTGGAAGATTCTAGATATGTGTAGAAATGTGTAGAAGTGTGTGGAAGGTTCTAGAGTTCTCTAGAGTTTTATGGAGTAGTATGGAGAATTCTAGAATGTTGTAGATACTAGTAGATAAGTATGGAAGTGTGAAGAAGGTGGGAGAAGATTCTAGATAATCAATCTCCACCGTTGGTTAGAATGCATCCTAGCCGTCCATTAGGGATGGGGATGCCTATAAATAGAGGTAGGACTTCATTTTGTAGGGAACAAGTCCTGGAGTGAGTCTTGAGAGCCTTGTAGAGAACTTGAGTGTTAGCCTTGTACAAAGCATTCTTTGAAGTAATAGAATTGTTCTTTCCTTGCCAACTTAAGTGCCTTAGTGTGTGTGAGTGTGCAAGCCAAATGAGGAGAGGGCGAGGGCAACTACAACACTAGTAAGCGCACGAGGGGAGTGTGTTGGCTAAGGTCTGCACGGGAGTTAGGCTAACCAAGTACTTGCGAGAGTGAAAGCAACGTCTTGGTGCCGCACGGGAGCAGCTAGAGTGGTGCTGAAACTCTAAGCCCGTGACACTTTGCTCATAGATTACTGGAAGACTACGATTGTTCTTCAAACAATTTTTTCAAGACGCGCTTTGTGAAAAAGTCCATCACAGTGTAGAAAGAGAAAATCTATCATCAAGATGACATTTTGGCTCCGTTTGTTTCAACCTAATAATTTTTTTTAGGTAAAATATTATTTTTATTTTTATTTTGTCGGTGGGGTATATAAAATAATTTACCATAAAATTTATGAATAAATTATTTTTATTAAATTTTAATATATTTTTTCTTCTTAAATATTTTATGACAACCAAATATCATAAAATAAAAATAAAAAAATTTCTGAAAAATATTTTATGTCTGAACAAACGGAGCCTTTGTGTGTTGTCCCTAAATCCCCTCATCTATATGTGTGAGAATACTTGTACATTGATTGATTGAATTAGGTTCTGAAATAATGTTTATAAGCATATATTTTTTTATCGGTAAATTACTCTTACTTTCCTTTGAGTGAGATTTGACCTAACATTAAAAATATTTTGTCATATAATTTGTCTTGTTTTCTTGGTTGTGAATAGACTTAATTTATTCTAACTTCAATTTAAAGCGCTCAACTCCATCCATAAATAACATTAACAAAAAGGCTTTTTTTTTACCAAAAAAAAAAAAAACGAAGGTTGTTTTTGTATCACTCAATCGAACTCAGATTCCCACTACGCTGGGCTCCACTTCCATGAAGCAAACTTTTGACTGTGGAATATGAAACTTTTTTTTTGAGAGTCTAAGTGATTATGAAACTTTCCTTGATGCAACGCGACAAAGAAAAATAAAAGACCTTTGTTTCACACCTACCATAAATACATTGCACATCTTCATTAAAGTTCATTCTCATCCATCATCAATATATAATATAAATTACATTGCACATCTTCATTGAAGTCCATTTTCATCCATCATCAATATATATACAAAAATCTAGTATTAGTGGCTGTTTGCATGCTTGCATAGATCATGGCCATATCCATGAGAGATGCCAGCATTCTTGCGATTATGTTTCTAACTCTTGATATAATTGTCTTTTGCAGTACTGGAAACTCCTCTCATGCGGTTTGCGTGGAGAGTGAGAAACAAGCCCTTCTGACATTCAACCAAGATCTCACCGACCCTTCAAACCGGCTCTTCTCTTGGGCTCATGAATCACAGGGCTGTTGTAAATGGGATGGAGTCGTCTGTAACTATTTAACTGGAAATGTTGAGGAGCTCCGCCTTCAAAATCTTAATTATCTGAGGTCTGGGTTGGGTGGTAGGCTAAACCCATCTTTACTGGATTTGAAGCATCTGAGTTACCTGGACCTTAGCCACAACGATTTTGGTGGGATTCAGATTCCGAACTTCATTGGTTCCTTGGGGAGTTTAAGATATCTTGACCTCTGAGACGCTAATTTTGGGGGAGTCATTCCTAGTCAACTAGGAAACCTGTCCAATTTGTACCATCTAACACTTCGTAGTGTTCGTGGCGATCTATATGCTGAGAGTCTTCAATGGCTTTCTGGTAATTCCTTCCTGGAGGTCCTTGATCTGTCTTATGTGGATCTCAGTAAAGCATTGGGCTGGCCGCAGGTGACCAACATGCTCCCTTCTTTGGTAAAGTTGTCCTTATCCTCTTGCAAGCTCAATAACTTTCCTCCTCTAGATGTATGTAGTCAATTTTACTTCTCTTTCCTTCCTTGATCTGTCATACAATGAGTTCACAGGGGGATTGCCAAGATCCTTTGAAAATCTTTGCAACTTGAAATCACTTTTCTTGTCAGAGGTCAAACTTGGTGGCGATATATTGGAGATTCTAGACATTCTTTCTAGATGCATTCCAGATGAACTTGAAGGGCTTGTTTTAAGCGGTAATCAACTTTCAGGTCATTTTCCTGATGTTATTGATCAACTTACTCTTTCTAAAAAGACTCGTCCTGGTCAACTTCCAACGTCGTCGAGAAGATTATCATTCCTCCGTTTTTTAGATCTTTCTAATAATAACTTGATTGGACCTATCCCTGAAAGTCTTGGTCAACTTGCACATCTAGAGTGGTTTTGTGTGTCACAAAATTCATTACAAGGTATCATGTCTGAAGTTCACTTCACCAACCTCACAAGATTGAATGCTCTCGATGGATCTCGGAATCAAATAAAACTTGAGTGTCAGTCCAAATTGGGTTCCTCAATTTCAAATTCAAGAGTTATCTCTTGGATCATGGCAGTTAGGGCCACAATTTCCCCACTAGCTTCACTCGCAGAGAAATCTAATGTGTGTAGACATATCCGATACAGGAATTTCAGGTACCATTCCTAGGTGGTTTTGGAACTTATCATCCCAGTTTGACTATTTAAATCTCTCTCACAATCATATCCACGGAGAGATGGTAAATGAGCTTTTAGTATTTGCGCAGGACTCTACAGTAGTTACTTCAATGGTACATTACCCCATTTGTCCTCAAATGTCTCCACACTGGATCTTTCCAAGAATTTATTTTCTGGATCTATTTCAGAGTTTTTGTGCTACAATATGGATGTATTGAAGAACTTGCAGCTTTTGAATCTAGAAGGAAATCTTTTGTCAGAAGAATTGCCCAACTGTTGGACAAGCTGGTCTAAATTGAAGTTCGTAAATTTAATAAATAACAATCTGAAGGGAAAAATTCCATGGTCCATGGAATCTCTAAGTTTCCTCAAATCACTGCATGTAGGAAACAATAGCCTTTCTGGAGAGTTACCTATGTCTCTACAAAATTGTTCAAGATTGGAGTTTATTGATTTGAGTGAAAATGAATTTTCAGGAAGTATGCCCACACGGATAGGAAAAGACTTTCAGTTCTCAAGATTCTTATCTTGCGATCAAATAAGTTTTATAAGCACATTCCTAAGGAACTTTGTGCACTCAATTCTCTTCAAATCTTGGACCTTTCACGTAACAATTTTTCTGGAAGCTTACCCGGATGTTTCATGAATTTGAGTGCTATGATCATACAACAAAATTCAAGTGGCAAAATGTTATACTGGCCTGATTCTTTCCCTGCACTAGTATCTTTTGAAGGCTTTTTAGAGCATGCAATACTGGTAATGAAAGGACATGGATATAGCACCATTCTTCAACTAGTTACTATCATGGATTTTTCAAATAACAATTTATCAGGAGAGATCCTTAAGGAATTGACAAGTCTTCGAGGGCTTCGTTCATTAAATTTGTCATTTAATCATTTCACAGGAAGGATTCCAGAGGGTATAGGTGCTATGGAACAACTAGAAGTTATTGATTTCTCTATGAATCATCTTTTTGGTGAAATCCCTTCGAGTATGTCAAATTTGAATTTCCTAAGTTACTTGAACTTGTCCTACAACAATTTGAGTGGAAAAATACCATCAAGCACTCAACTTCAAAGTTTCAATGCATCCAATTTCGTTGGAAACAGCCTGTGTGGACCTCCAGTTAATAACCAGTGCAATGTTAGTGATACACCATCTACTATTGCAAATGGAGCAGGCAAAAGAGGCGATGGATTTGAAGTGGACTGGTTTTATGTGAGCATGGCTCTAGGATTTGTGGTGGGCTTTTGGGGTGTAGTTGGTCCATTTCTGTTTAGCATTTCTTGGAGAGTTGTATGTTTTCAGTTCATGGACAACATTTGGTACAAGTTTCATAGTGTTATATGAAGTGCACAAATGATACAATAACATCAATAAATCAATAAAAAGTTCAGATCGTTATTTATCTATAAACTAATCTATGATTTTCTACACAGTTTATTGGATTGTGCTCTGTCTCCATCTTACATCAATTTCCTATCATGATCATTCTCATAATGAATAACAACAACAATAAGTCATTGGAAGAAAAAGAATGCCCCTCAGCAAGTATCTTAAAGAGGGATTTGAAACCACACGAGCTGCTTGCACAAACTTGCTATTACATTGTTTGTAGGGTTTTGAATTCTCAATTCAATTGGATTTTAGAAGAGATGTGTTATTGTAAAAGTGATGTCACAATGAATTGATTGTTTGAAATGAACATCATCAAGTATATATAGTAAGAAGTTAAATGGTCGGCTTATTTACCATTCATGATTTACACATGAACATATGCTTTTAGTAATTTGCATAAAAAAAAAAAAAAAAAGAAGCTAAATAGTCATCAATCTTAAAACTATATTGCACTTCCGTAACCACTTCATTCCACAAATACCCTTTTTCACTCTCCCTCCCATGCTTCTCCCCATTTTTTGCATTAAGATTCATATATATTATTTGTTTCCTGCATCAAATCCTCCTTCACAATTAATATTTCTTACCAATGAAAAAAAAAAAAAAAATATATATATATATATATATATAATATTTATAGTGCATCCCTTGGAAAAAGACCAAAATATTGAGATTGACGTGCGGCGTTGAGTGAGTCGATCCCTTGCCGCAGAGATGGCAGTGGTAGGACAAAGAATAAGAGAATCGACACAAAGAAGATGAAGGACCAGGGTGTGAGTTTTGGGAGGGATTGGTGTAAGAGTGTGTCGGATGTTGTGGTGAGATACCACTAAAGAGCAATTTAGTTTCAAAGATTGATGACTATTCATTTTTTTTGTAACTTTAAGCTGGCTTTAAGGTTATTATTTTTAATTTTGGTCACTAAAATCTAATTTTTCTTAAAATAAAATTAGTTTATTGGGCCCTATGGTGCTTGTGACAATGAAAATTTTACTTAATAAATTAAGTAGAATATGAATCTCCAATCTAGCACAATGGCATAACCTCCCCTTCCGCAAAGAGGAGGGAGTTTGATCCAGGTGTGGTTGAAAAGGTTTTTGTGAATGGGTGCGTGAGAAAAAAATAAAATAAAATAAAAAATAAAAAATAAAAAATCCGACTGTCCACAATCTTCCAACCACAACAAACGTCTGCCCTAGTTATACATGAGAGGGTCCGTCATCGACTACGTCTCCGTCATAACCTGAAAAATGTAAGAGGAAGGGTGAGCACGGAGGCTCAGTAGTAGATGCCTAAGTAACTAACTTTGGACTCCCTTGAGCCACACATCACACATACGGGATGAAAAGGAAACCGGGATCATATAGGGTTTTTTCATAGCATTTAATTTACCAATTAATCACAACTATAACACTTAGGCATTTTTAAACACAAGTATGCACAAGATGCAATGCAATGCCCACATTTCCCAATCTTGGTCTCAACCGACCCCAACTCAGCCTCTACCGGCCCTAACTTGGTCTCTACCGACCCCAAACCCACATTTTGAAAACCGCTAACTGACTTTACCGAGGCGAAATTGATAGCTGTCCCTGGTTCTAAATCCGGCAACTATTTGGGATCTAGTATCAACTTTTTCATGCCCTACACTGGGCCACGCTCCGTCTAGGTCAAGTTAGCATCGGACTTGTGAAATTCGGATCATTTTTATAAAAAAAATATTTTATGCCCTTTCTCATTATCCTTTCCCGCCATGCCATGTACATGAATCAAATTCATTGTTTTAACTTCATTTTCATTTATACGACAACAATGGCATTTTCTAAAATGCAAATTTCAAACATGGCATGTTACACAATTCAATTACAAATAAGGCATTCACATCAATTTAGTCACAAGCATGCTCTTCATAGAAATAGTAACATCACCAATCATGCTAAAATCATCATTTGAGCAATTTTGCACCAAGGCCACATTATACACATCTTTAGCATGAAAATAAACATATTCTTGCACTAATACGCTAGCATGCTTTCAAATCAACACATAGTCATTTAAAATTCACCTTTCCACATACCATAGCTAATTCAAGAAGATTCAAGAATTTTTGTTCAATGAAAGACAAAGTTTAGTGTGTTAGGAATCCTTACCTCGATTAATGATGCTTAGCCAAACAAGGCCTTATCTAGCCCCAATTTCAAAATCCCTCCAAATGCAAGCAAGAGTGGTCTCAAATGAAAGCCCAAGATGAGTAGAGTAACTTTCTCTTCTATGAGCTTAGCCAAATCCCACTCTAACCTCTTCAAATCCAAGCTTGAATTATGTTTCACATATATGTGTATAAGTATAGATAGAGAAAGGGAAAGGTTAGAGAGAGAGAAAGGATCCGAAAAATGAAAAAAAAACAAGGAGGGGTTCGCTTGCCTTCCTTTTGGTCCTATGGCTATTAATGTGCCACTTGTCAAATTTTGGTTGATTTCTAATTTGTGCAAAGTTACCAATTTACCCTCCATTAAACCATCCATTTCCTTCCTTGTCCCATAAATATACAGATATAGGTGTGTGTATATATATATACAAAAAGACCACAATGCCCCTCACCTAAAATGGCAAAACTGAGAGAAGTTCCCGAGTCCGAAAATCGTCTCGACTTTCAAAAAATTTTAAAATTAATCCCATCGCCTCTAATTGACTTAAAATAATTAAAATTACGTTCCTAAAACTCTCGGCTCAAGAAAATGACCGAAACAGCCCTCGAGATCCTCGTGGCATGCAAAACGAGGTGAAAAAATAAATAAAATAATTGTTTGAAATAAAAAATTGAGAAAAATCCGGGACATTACACACCACGTCAATTAAAAATATTGAGTAACTAATTTTTCACCATCCCTCTTTAAGTTTTATTCCACATATATAAAAACTTTAAACATTATTTCCAAAATACGGTATAAGTTACTTTAATAGAGAAGATGGGTCCGGTTTAATATTATTTAACTCTCAATTTTGTGTTCTAGGTCATCTTCCTTCCTCTCCTTGGTTTATGGTATTTTATTTTGGGGGATCCAGTGAAATTCCTTTTATTATCATCAAATTTGTTCCCTTTTGTCTGAATAATTATTGGTTCATTCCAAATTCATATTGTTTACGTGGTTTAACTTGAATTCATGTGATAACAGTCAATTCTCTTCATTTTGTCTAAAAATTATTGGTTTATTGATTCATAATTTGTTACTCTGGAATTGAAGAAGAAGCTTGGTCTGTGTTGGTGTTCTTTTCTCTATCTCTTCATGTTTGTTCCTGACCCTTCTCCTACTTAATTACGTACTGCAATTACTCTCTTTAGTAGAATTTTGTTGGGATTTTACGTATAACATAAGCATGAAATAAAGTGCGTACTGCTTGGGATGCAAACTACATATTGCTTGGGATGTTAAGTAGATTATAATTTGAACTAGTGTTTCTCCGATTAGAGTCGATGACTATCATCCAGTAGGATTATGATGTTTCTCCGATTAGACTCAATGACTATCATACAGTAGGATTATGTTGGGATGTTGCGTACAACTTATATTGACTTAAGTTACAAACTGCTTGGATGTTATGTACAAATAATCCATTAGGATTATGTTGGGATGTTGCGTATAACTTATATTGATTTAAATTATAAAATGCTTAGGATGTTATGCAGTACACAAATAATTATACAAAAAAATTATGCCAGTCCAGATGTTGCTGTATTCCGATATTGCTTTGTTAATTTGGAATAAAAGGACCTAGTATACAAAGAAAGGGAGGAGAAATTTATGGAAACAAAGGAATGGAAAAATAGATCTGTAACACATTTTGGAAACAAATCAAAATATGTTTATTTCCTAGGCGATGTTGCTCTGTTCCGATGTTACTTTGTTAATTTGGAATAAAATGAATTAGTATACGAAGAAATGAAAGAAGAAATTTATGGAAATAAAGGAATGGAGAAATAGATTTGTGATTCGTTTTGGAAACAAATAAACATATGTTTATTTCTTGGGCCTTAACTGCCCAGGTAATAATAGACGATGTCTTCCATGATAGTAAAGGAAGGCGACGTCATATAGGTTGCCAAAAAATTCGAAAGAGAGGGAGGAGGAAACGTTGTATATATATAAAGAAATTGCATATAAACTATTCATTTACTCCACTGAAAGAACTGGATGCTCTATGTAACTTGGAGAGGATCCTGAGCCACCTCCGTGACGTTTAAAATTTTGGCCTTATTTTTAGGGTAAAGGGCAATAAACCCCCCTGAACTTTCAGCAAAAAACAGAAAATCCCCCTAAACTAACTAATACCCCCTAATCTATTTAAAATATGAAAATTAAGGGCAAATTGAAATATCTGTTCACCAGAGCTCACCGAAAAAGTGAGATTACTAAATTGCCATTAATTAAAATGACGCTGTTTCAATGTGATTGTTGCTGATTTGGCAAGTTTAACTTCAGCAACCAACGATATGTCAACAACACACACCTTATCACTGACTTGTCAAAGTGTAATCTCAACAACCAATGGGATATTGACGACACAACCTTATCAACAAGCCTCACCTACCCCCCTTTATCATTTTAGCGGCAAACATATGTGTATAAGACACATTTTAGCACCAAACACTAGCTAAGCTTCACCTATCCCTTTCTACGTGTTTGACTCTAATTCACAATCTCAAAAAACACAACTCCTTCCATTGCAACATTGCTACTGGATGATCACTCCTCGAGATGTCTTGCACGGAGTAAACCCTAATCACTTAATAATTGTAATATTAGGTATGATTTTGGTCTGTAATCAAAGTAATCTTTATGTAAATGGTTTCATATTTGATTTTAGTCTATTATCACAACACTGTCTCTCTATAAATGTTTCATACTTTGTTTTGTGCAATAAACATAATCGTGTTTGTCAGCTATTAAATACGTGGGAAATGCATTAAAATTTGATTTAATGTGTTGGAATAAATGTGGTTAGTAAAGTTATTTTTTGTAGTTTTGTTTGTGATTTTGGATGGTAGTAAAATATCTATACCGTTCTGATTGTTTTATTGTATTCCTTCTTCTTTTTATGTTGTAAAAAATGAAAAGATGTGGTTAATGGTGGTGCAAGTATTTTATTTTTTGTACTTTTGTTTGTAACTATAAAATGATAGTTGTTAGTTTGGTAAGATTCACTGATTCTATTTGTTTGTGGTCCCTTCCTGTATTCAAAGATTCGAGCAACAAAGTATGTAGTGTTGTCTGGTCGTTTAATTCCTTTGAAACTGGTGGTTGAGTGGTCCATTTTTGATTTATTATGTTGTGAAGAAGTCCCCTTTTTTGTATACGTATTGTTGTTTATTTTTATCTCTCTTACTTTATTTTAAAGTACGAAAACAGTGCATTGTCCCTATTATTTACGTATGTGCATGGTTTCTATTGTAGATGGATATATTATATAGTATTGGGTTGCACTATGGGGGTGTGTTTAAGAAAATACCCCATATGGCTTACTTAGGAGGAAAAGTAGCATATTATGACAATGTGGATCCAGACAAAATGTCTTACATTGAAGTGCAAGATATGGCAAAGCAGGTTGGTTATGGGATTATTAGTGAAGCTTATTACAAAATGCCCAATGGTGAAGGATTCAAAGAAATGAAGTCTCACCTACATGTAATGAACATGTTTTCTGCTTTTGAGCCATAAATAGAAGTCAAGGAAATCCATATCTACATTGTTGCACCACAGTTGGAAGAGGGTGTAGAAAACCTTAGAGATCTTGAAGAAATAAATGAGAACAATGTAGATAAAAAAAAATATATATATATATAAAAAAAAAAAAAAGACAAAGATATTTCTTCTCCAATTGATGATGATGAGATTGATGAAGCATATATGGAATTTGATGAAGTGGAGTTTGCTGGTGAGATTGATGAAACACATTTTGATTATACTGAATTGGAGTCTGTGTATGTTCCTTTTGATGAGTAGAGAAGCCTACCTGGTTCAGATGATGATGATGACAGTGATACTATTGGTGTCCATCCTATCCCTAACAACCAAGAATTCTTGCCTTCAAGGGATTTGGGTGTTAAACAACTTGAACTTGGCATGAGGTTTGCATCAGCCAAAGATTTCAGACTTGCACTAAAAGATTATGTAATAAGGGAAAAGTTTGATATTAAATTCAAAAACAAAATGATGGTGATAAAGTGTCTGCAGTGTGCTCAGAAGGTTGTGGCTGGAGGATACATGCAAGTAAACTAAGTATTGAGCAGTGTTTAAGAACAAAAAAATTAAGCAAAGAGCATAACAATTGCTTGTAGAGTCATTATAGCAATCAAACCTCATCTTCCTATCTTGCAAACAAGTACTTGGAACAAGTGAGATTAAACCCAACTATAGGTCATATGGCATTTCAAAGTACTATTCCAATGGAGTTAGACATTGATGTGTTCACATACAAAGCGCGTAGGCCAAAGAAAAGGGCATTAAGCATTATTAAGGGTGATGAAGCTGCACAGTAATCAAAGTTGAGGGATTGTTGTGCATTGATCCAAAGAACCAATCCTGGAAGTCATGCAACAATAGGTGTTAATCCCACGTCTTATGATAATGAAATCAAGACCTTCCAAATAATTTTTATTTGTTATGCTGCAATGAAGAAGCGATTTAGAGATGGTTGTAGACCATTCCTTGGTGTTGATGGGTGCTTTTTAAAGGGAACATATGTTGGTCACCTACTGTTTGCTATGACTTGTGATGGGAATGACCAAATGTTTCCTGCTACTATTGCAATTGTAGAGGCTGAAACAAAAGACTCTTGGAGCTGGTTCATGACAGAGTTGATGGAGGCTGTTGGACCTCACTTTGACATCACCTTCATGTCAGATAGACAAAAAGTGAGTAAATATTTACTTTTATTTCATTTCAGTTCTTTAATTCAATAACAGTTACAGTATTTTGTATGTTGTTCACTTAATTTATTTTACAATTAATTTATTTTTATAAGACAAAAAGTGAATAAATCTATACTTTTATTTCATTTCAGTTCTTTAATTCAATAACAGTTCTTTAAGTCAGTATTTTTTATGTTGTTCACATAATTTATTTTGCAATTAATTTGTTTTTATAAGACAAAAGGTGAGTAAATTATACTTTTATTTCATTTCAGTTCTTTAATCCAATAATAGTTCTTTAAGTCAGTACTTTTTATGTTGTTTAATTAATTTATTTTGCAATTAATTTGTTCTCTATTTGCAGTTCAATTAATTTGTTTTGTATTCACATTTCATTTATATTCTTAATTGAATTTTAGGGATTAGTTGATAGTTTGATACCATTCTATATGGGACTGAACACATATTTTGTGTGAGACACCTCTATGAAAAGTTCAAACTAAAATATAGAGGACAAAATCTGAAAAATGAGGTTTTGGAAGTAGCTCAATCATACACAAAAGCTGATTTTGAGTTACATATGAACAAGATTAAAGAGATGAATGCTAGAGCATATGAGTGGCTGAGGAGAGTACCACCACATGTATGGACAAGGTCCAGTTTTGGTTGTCATTCAAAACCAGTTTTGGTCGTAAAAAATATGTGTGAGTCTTGGAATGCAATGATTCTTAATGCAAGGGACAAGCCTATTTAGAATGGATTAGGAAGAATCTGATGTTGAGGTTTCAAAAAAAAAGACACTTCATGAATTCAAAGTGTGGGTTGTTATGTCCAGACATTCAGGAAGAAATAAATAAGAGGAAGAGAAGTGCAAGAATCTGTAAAGTGCATTATGCTGGTGATGACAAATATGAGGTGGAATGTAGAGGAATTAGTGAGGCAGTGAACATTGGGAAGAACACATGCTCTTGTAGAATATGGGATGTTAGTGGTATCCCTTGTAATCATGTTATTGCATGCATATTTGCAAGGAGGGAACTACCAGAAATATATGTTGATTCATACTATCACAGAGACACTAATTTGAAGACCTATGGAAACTTGATATATCCCATTCCAATGAGGAGACTATTAAATTCAGAACCCACAGACCCATTACTTCCACCTACCTATAGGAAACCAATTGGTAGACCAAAAAAGGCAAAGGAACAAAAAAAGTGATGAACCAAGTACTTCAACCACACTGAGCAAGTCAAAACCACAATTGCAATGTTCAAGATGTAATGATTATCGGCACAACACAAGAACTTGCAAAGCATTTGAACCAATTTTGGTTAAGAAACTTCCGCCCAAAAGAGGAGGAAGACCACCATTAACTACTAGAGGAAGGAGTGGAGTTCAGTTATGCAGTCAAGGGGTGGTGGTTCAGCTATAGGAAGGGGTAGTGGTTTAGTTATGAAGTTAAGGGGTGGTGGCTTAGTTATGCAGTCAAGGGGTGGTGGTTCAGCTATGGGAAGGGGTGGTGGTTCAGTTATGCAGTTAAGGGGTGGTGGTTCAGCTATGGGAAGGACTGGTGGTTCAGTTATGTAGTCAAGGGGTGGTGGTTCAACTATGCAGAGAAGGGGTGGTGGTGTATTATGGCCAAGGGGTGGTGATGGTGGGCATACAGTGCACCCCGGCCCAAATTCAGGCAAGACAGTCTCAAGAGGTAAATGTTGAATCTCAGTATATTTGAAGTTCATTTGTTAAAAAATTAAAAATTTTAACTAAAACTATTATTTATTTTTGCAGGTTCATAATATTCCATTATCCCAATTGGTTGAAACACAAGCATCATCATCAAGGCAAGAAGACTATTTCAGTTTCCATTTATAGAGACATTGACTATATGAGAAAAATAACATTGATGTGTCAAAATTTGCAAGTCATTGATGAATGAAGAGGGTAGTGAATATGCTGCTTGGTGATGGTGGGAGTTGTTGGTTGGCTCTCACTTTTTTGTTGTTGTTTGCAGTATATATGGGTTGCTGTGATGCAGTCATTCTGGCTATGATCTTTTTCGTATTTTCTCTGATGCAGGTCTTCTGGCTCTAATCTTTTTGTGTACTTGCTCTAATGCAAGTCTCTTTTGTGGGTGGCTGTAATGTTAATATGTATGCAAATATATTAATCTTTTGTACTGTAATGTATGTATGGTCATGAAACTTGCCAATGACTTTATGTAAGCAACCGTTATATATTTGTGATCATTTTCTGTTTTGTGCAGTTTTTGTTTAATAAGTTTGTGTGTACATTGACAATGTGAGTGGCCATTTAACCAAACATTGCACTAATATACTTACTAAAGAATTGAATTAAAAAAAAAAAAAAAAAAACTGCACTAATTGACAACAACAAAATCATTCATTTTTTCATTAATTGATCATCAATACAACATTAATTCTTCTAAATCATAATCAAGATCGACTATCCATACATTAGTTAACCCCAATACACACTGCTACATATACACTATTAACCCAGAAACCAACTCCTACATATCAATGCACCAAAAGAGATAAACATAGTCAGCCCCCCTGCTAAAACAAGCAAAAATTCCTCCAAACTTTAACCCAGAAAATTGCAACAACTAAAAACCCACCTAAGCATCAATTCACCAAACACTCCACAAGTCTTTTGGCATTTTGGTTGTAGACACAACCTCACCTAAGTGTCAATGCAACAACCAACACCAAAACAGATAACCCAAAAAGAAACAAGCTGCTAATGAAGAGATTTTTTTTAAATGAAATTAACACATTCATATTTGGTGTTGTCATTGCCGTTGTTGCTACTACTGCTATTGGGGGTGGTGTTTGCATTTGTGGTGGTGGTGATGATGAAGAATGCTTCCACCATTCCCAGAAAGTGCAAACTCCAGCTGAACATTTGTAATAGATTCTCCCCGGATTATCATCGGAATCTGAGATGAATACAGAAGCCTTTTTTTTTTTTTTTTTTTCTACATTTACATTTCATATTATAAAGAGGACCCCAACGATTTGTAGACATTGACGATTCGGCCATTGTACTCATTTTTTTGAAGATGAGGAAAACAAAAGCTGTAATAAAGATCGAAACTCAAATAAAGCACCAGAGTTCGTCCTCAACACTTACCTTACTGTTGTCAACACAACTTCAACACATCTTCGATTTATTACCCCTTCGTTTTCTCACTGTAAATCACAGCAATATGCTTCTGATTGTTGGCAGATTGTGAACAAAAGCAAGGGTTTGTGAGCGAAATTGATACGTTTGGTCTGTGTGTTGAAGGCTTGCACAAAACGATCGAGTAGTATTTGGGAATTTTGGTAGGGAAGAAAAGGAATTGAAATTAGGGTTAACAATACAGATTGCAGATTGGGTTTTATTGGGTTAAAACTCACACGTGGGAAAAAACCAAACCCAAACGGATATACCAGCAACGGTTAGAAGGGTATAAATGGGATTTTTGGAAATATATCATATGTCACGTGCATGTATCAGCGCAAAAACCAAACGGAACAGTGGTCCCGGAGTGTTTTTTTGCAAAATTTGTGATAGTTTAGGGGTTTTCTTTAAAATTAGAAGATCTGGGAGAGAGAGTAAAAGTCCAGGTGTTTACGCTTAATTTTATAAATTTGTGTGAGGCGTACTCTTTTTATTTTTATTACCCATGTGTAAAAAGAAAATTCCAAACGTGTCCCTCTTTAAAATGGGTTTATTTTCTTCCTATACCCTACTATACCACAAACTCACGACCCCAGACCCTCTGGATAGTTCAATAGGCCACCAGCCTTCCCTCCCTTCTCCGACGACGGTCGCGGGTGGACTAACCACCGTCTAACGCTCCTGGTATTTTACTTACCGATTTTATTTCTGTATTATATTTTGGTGATTTTGTTATTGGGCTTCAATTATTACGATTATTTTGATAATTAAAGGTGAGAGGTAGCATTGATAAATAGGACAATATATGAAGGAAAACTATGTTATATTGAACCAAATTCCATCATTTATTTGCAAAACTGTGATGTGCCAGAATTTCGTTATAATCCTTTTTATCCATTTTATAGATTTTTTTGTTCATAAGAATTGAACTGCGACAGCATCCTTTTTTGGTCTTGAACTTGTGCAGTAGTGAGTTGTCTTCATTTCACATGTTAGTACTGTAACTCTTTGTGCTTTTTCTGATGGCTACCTAATACCTTCTTGTAAATAAATTCTTTTCAAAGTATATATATTTTTGTCTTGGCACCTGTTGATCTCTGCATTCTTATTCCAGCTGGTCTCGTTGTTGAAAATGTTGTTTCTTGAGAGTTCAACATTTGGTACCATTGTTGTTCAAAACATTTCTTTTTCAATTTGGATTTATGACAGGGAGATCTACTATGGAGGCCATTTACTTAGGCAATTGATAGAAGAATGTAGAAGTAAGCAAACAGATTTGCACATGGTTCTCATAGACTTAGAGAAGGCACATGCTAGAGTTTCAAGGGATATAATTTCGTGGACCTTGCATAGAAAACAAGTCCCCTTAAATCTTATGAACATTATTAAGGTTGTGTACGAGGATACCAAGACTAGGGTCCATACTGTTTGTGGAGAAACTAATGATTTGTCTGTGAAAGTGGGTTTACAATTACACCAAGGTTCGGTACTTAGCCCATACCTATTCACTCTAGTCTTGGATGAAATAACGAAGTTATACAAAAAGACATCACATGGTGCATGTTGTTTGCGGATACGTCTAAGGAAGACTTGAGTATCAAATTAGAGACTTGGCGAAATGCACTAGAAACAAAAGGTTTAAAAATTAGTAAATCTAAAACAGAATATATATGGAATGTAAATTTAATAAAGAATCGGAAAGTAATGATTTAAAATTAGCAATCCAAGATCATATGGTCACTAAAAATCATCATTTTCGATACTCGGGATCAGTAATACAAGAAAATGAGGAAATAGATGATAATATTACTAGAAGGATTGGAATAGGGTGGACTAAATGGAGACAAGTTAGTGGTATCTTATGTGATAAAAAATACCAAAACAAGTTAAAAGGAAAATTTTATAGTATGGTTATTAGGCCAACTATATTATGTGGGGCAAAGTGTTGGGCGTCAAAAAGGAAACAAGAAAAACACATTCACTTGACTGAAATGAGGATGTTGAGTTGGATGATAGGAGAGACTAGAAAAGATGTTACTAATCAAAATGTGAGGGAGACTCTTGGCATAGCTCCTCTTATTGACAAAATGAGTGAAAATAGACTTAGGTGGTATGGACACAGAGAAAGTAGACCCGTTGATGCCCCGTTAAAAAGGGAAAAGTACTTTGCATAGACGGCAAGAGAAAACGAGGATGACCAAAACTAACATGGAATGAAGTAATTAAAAATGATTTTAAAACGTTAAATCTTAGAGGAAACATATTGTATAATAGAATAGAATGGAGAAAGAGAATCCATGTGGCCGACCCCGTTCATTTGGAAAAAAAGGCAAGGATGTTGATGAATCGATGATATATGGATTTATATACAGATGCTTCTAAATGCATATATTAATATATACATGTAATTGTGCAAAACCAATGTTGCGGAGTTCATTTTTTTCACTTGAATTGAAAATTTAACCATCACTATATGTATTTTTTTCTTGGTAGTACATGTACACACGTTCATATATATATATATATATATATATGTATATGTACACATGCACGCACATATACTTATATGTATATACATATAAATTTGGGAAAACAACGTTTTGCAGTTCAAATTTCTTTTTGAATTGAAAATTTTGTTGCCGTATTTCTTTCTTTCTTTATTCGTTCTAATTTTCAATTTTTAATCTTTTTATAGAAATTAAAGCCATAAGTGTGAAGGAAGTCGTGTAGTGTAATGAGTGGGGATTCTTTGGAGAAACTCAGAACTCTTCATATCTCCTCTCTTGATGAGGAAGAAAGAGCTGGAGTTGATGGGGATGGAGAATTTTACATGTATAACGGTAACGACGATGACAATGACGAAGACGAGGAAGAAGAAGTACCTGTAGAACTAGGTTTTGTCGAAAAGATTAAGAATCGCTGGTCACTTCTTCGTCAATTATTTCCAAGCAAGGCTGGGGGTGTTCCTGTACGTTTAGTGCCCCCTAAAGTTATCTTTTCATTTAAAATTATAGCAACAAAATATGTTATTGTTGTGAATAATTAATTTTCTTGAAATGTAGGCTTGGTTGGATCCTATTGATTTGCCTTCAGGAGTATCTTGCATTTGTGACATTTGTGGCGAGCCTTTGCAATTCCTGCTTCAGGTATATATCTTTTCACAATTATCATATAGTCTAATGAATTTTTTTATATGCAGTATATATCATATAGATTTTGATAAAATTGTACCTGAAATGAAAAAGGACCAAAAATTTATGTAGGTTTTTTTTCCCTCTCTTTTCACCTTTTTTTCCCTCCAATTCAACTCCCTTTTGAAACTGACTACCAAGGCGGGATACACAACCTCTCTCAACTGCAATTTAAATAAGCAAGTAACGGCTCTAAACTGCAATTTGAATAACCAAAGTAGTATATATCATATAGATTGATTGAATCTTTGCAGTTTTTTTAATTACTATGTCATGTTTATTTATTTACCATGCACCATGAGAAGGTTAGGCAGTGAGAAGTTTCATCATTCCCCCCCTCCCCCTTACTTCTTTTACTTTAGCTGTCTTCTAAACCTCACTTTTTGTGCCATGCATTAGAGGGAGCAAGGGTGCTACATTGTTGTCTTTGACGATAGTTCTTTTTTTTTGTTGAGTTCATAGGTTTATGCACCACTTGAGAAAGAATCAACATTTCATCGCACATTATTTGTATTCATGTGTACATCAATGGCTTGTCTTCTCCAAGACCAACATGAGCAATGGAAACGCCAACCAGAGAAAGCAGCTCGCAGGTATTGCTTAGAATCCAATCTACTTTTTAAAATTTTCATTGCCACCCCCCTTCCCCTTTCTCTCCCCCCACATCAATCGGATATGTTATGAATCATTTTTACTCTCTTATCCCTTACTTTGTGTTGATTGTAAATTGGTTTTTCTAAGTGTGAAGGTTTTTCGCTGCCAATTGGCTCGTTCCAATCCTTTTTACCCAATTGAACCCCCAAGAAATGATGGGACTGACAAGCCTTCTGAAATCGGAGGTAGCTTGTGTTTTTATTTCATTTTATGGTTTAATCTGAGCCTTTCTTCATGAATACTTAAATTGTTTGATTATGATAATGAAAATTATTAGTGTTATTAACTCAACTCTTCAAAGCCTTAACCCTGGCCTCTCTGAGCGTCTGCATTTATTTATATTTTTCCCCATAATTTATGCTTCTGTATAAAAATTGTGTTGAAGGAATTACTTTGACAGTGTTTCTCTTAAATTCTGCACCGGACTACCTAGCCCACACTCTTTTTGCTGGTCGTTGGATCAGTTGTGGTTCAGATATGACTCAAACTCCTTTCGCTGGGTGTGGGATCAGTTGTTCTAAAGAAATGATCAAACATAACAAGTCAGGTTTCTTATGTTATTCATCATGTAAAAGAAGGGGTAGTGAATCTCATGTAGCAAGTAGCATACGTTGAGTTACTTTGTCAGTTTCAACTTATATGCGCCACTGCTTGGTTTTGATCAATATGAATAATTTTCAATTATGTCCTTTAGGTTGCATAAGGTTGATGGATCCAGAAAGAGGGAATTTGGCATTCAAATTTACTTAATAAATGCTGGGTGTGGGATCAGTTGTTGTAAAGATATGACTCAAACTTAACAAGTGTGGTTTCTTGTGATAAGGTGGGGCATGGGCCCCCCAAAAATTTTCAAATTTTTTTTATACCCTCTAAAATTGTTCTTTTATAAAATAAACCCCACTTGGCCCCCCAAAAATTTTTAAAAATTGTTTAATATACCCCTTAAAAATTGTCATTTTGTAAATAAAGCCCACTTGTGGTCCAAAAACTCATAAAAAAAATTCAATTGGCCTCCCAAATTTTGTTCAAAAGAGTTATTTATTGGCCTCAATTATATGAGTTTGAAAATAACAACTTATATTCATAGAATTTTAATTAAACCTTTTTAGCTTTACTTGTGAAGTCCAAATCATCTGAAACAAAGTGTAAGTCCATTATTTTGGTTGTTCCTGTAACATATCATTACCAAATTTACATTTGCATATGTGTACACATGCATAATATCAATTATATTATTTTTAATATAAATACATGAACCTTTGTTGACACACATTTTTGTTAGATTGTGTTAACAAGGAAAAATCTAAATTTATACACTCATCTCCATGGAAGTGTCTGTGGAACTAAGATAGCAAAAATGGCAATAACAATATTATCATATATGCAAATATCTTCAGTTGTCACTTGTTAAATGTCAAATTCTATTGCTATTCTATAGTATTTCTCTATGCTGTTCTTAATTATCATATTTTACTAAAGTTTGCGAGATTTTGTTTATTTAAAATGGTACAAATGTTTTATTAATGTTTCATCAAGGTAATCGTATCTTTCCCAAAGTGGAATCCAAGTACTCAAATTTTTATTTTTATTTTTTGAAAAAAATTGAAACAATTGCTGGAGAAAAAACAAAATTTTAGCAATATTTTTTTACCACTTCTCATGTTACGTGTACCTATTGTTTCATTTTATCTATATCTTATTCTTTCTCATATCAATTTTCCGTCTATATTTACTTAGGTTTTATTTTTCATATTTTTTTATTATATTTTCCTCAATAGATATATACTAGGACTAAAAATTGTGTGGTTATAGTAACACCACCCCCCCCCCCCCCCCCAAAAAAAAAAAAAAAAAAAACAACTCAAAAATCCTGGTCAAGTAAAAGAAAGGGCAGGGAATATCATGTAGCAAGTAGCAGACAAAGAATTCCTTTGTCAGTTCCAACTTATATCTGCTATTGCTTAGGTTTTGCTCAATGTGTCTATTTTTTTGTTAATTATGTCCTTTAGGTTGCATTATGGTTGTTGGATCTAAATAGTAGGAATTCGGCATTTTAATTTACTAATGAATAGGAGGATTGGTTACTGGAGTTGGATTGGGAGAGAGTAGAAGTAGAGTATATTTAACTAAACTCTTTGTACATCTAGAATCCTCCATGGATAGAATTAAAATGACTCCTTTCAACTTGTTATTTCAAATACGTCTTAATAAGGCTTCAAATTCCATCCATGGATCTTAAGATCCAAATTAAGCAAAATTCCAAAAATTATAAAATCCAACCCATGCATTAAGAATCCATAGATCAAAATGCAAACTTAATTTTTCGAATTGTATGTATGTATATTTCTCTACCTTGGGAGGCATATAAGTTTAGAGCAGATTTAGATGTCCAATTAGTATTTTTTATTTATTTTTTTAACATGATTAATGACTGATTAGATTGCAGTAGCTCAAACACAAGGACAAGGTCTGAAACTTGTATGAACACATCCATGCACTTTTAACTACTCATGTTGTTATCTTCATAATCTAATCCCTTTGATTTTTTTTCTTGCTTTAGCTCCACTCTGTAGTTGGTGTGGTACCTGGAAAGGTGATAAAGTTTGTAGTAGTTGCAGAAGAGCACGATATTGTTCTGAGAATCATCAGGTTGTTGAAGCTAACTATGTTTTTCTATTATTATTTTTAAGGTTAACTTTGCTGATGCTTTGTTTCTTGTTTGCAGGCTGTGCACTGGAAGTCAGGTCACAAAATTGATTGTAGACGGTTGAAAGTTTCTCCTCAATTATCTGATTGTAGCGCCAGTAATAGTCTAGCAGATATACAAAAAGGCCAGTATAGTTGATTGCTTTAGCATGGATGTATGGTTTGCATGGACTTATATGGGTTGTATATTGCTACAAGGGACACATGCTTATTAGGTAGCATCATGATGTTCGTTCACTCCTTAAATGGCATTTTACATCTCATATATCATTACAAGGATCTGTCATATCTGGTCACTCCTTAGATGGCATTTACATCTAGTATATTGATCCTTCCATCTGATATCTCATCATCTATCTAATCTGTGATATGATTCCTTTTAGGTTAGATTTTTTTTTTTTTTTTCCTTCGATTTTTTTTTCTGGGCACTTCTTGTCAGACGTGCGGGGCAGATTATATATAGCATGATTCAGATTATGTGGCTTGGCACTTCGTTCTTAGATTGTGAGAGAATGTGCAACATATATTTAGATTTTAAAAGTCATGTCATGTCATTCAGTCAACATTAGCTCCAACTCTGGGGTCCTCACTAAAGTTTGACTATGGCATCAGATTTCTTAGAATTTCACAGCTGATTAGAATTTTATTTGTGAACAGTTGCAAGCAATACTGTATGGCCTCAATATGAGATAGTAAATGAGGATGAATGTGAATTCGATGCAGAGATGTCTGAAGATACTAAAAGTGCAAATTCATTGGTTTCTATGAGCCAAATGGATGACACGGTCAAGTCACTACTAGACAAGTTTGAGGTATGGATTTCTGTATTGATGATAATGGAATTATGTTTATCTTCATGAACATCTACAGGCTCTGTTTTGTTGTTGGTAAACAGGGGGATGCTGACAGAACGAGTTGGGCCTCTTTCCAAGAGCGCATAGCCAGGGCACCTGAACAAGTACTGAGTTAAGTTGGCACATTTAATATGAGGATGCATATTTCTGTTTTACATATATGCTATAAGGAAATCTATAGTCGTTTGTCTTCCTGGGAAGATATATACTGAATCAACAAGTCTTTGTTACATTTGTAAAGACCAGTGTAGTATCTATGACTATGTAATTGTTTCTATTTCTAAATGCCATGTGTTATTTGACTTTGGGTGGAATCAGGTATCATGCATGCTCAGTTGGTTTCCCATTTTGTAGAAGCAAACATATGTTTCCTAAAAACTGATTTGAAAATGAGTTCTCTTATATGCTTTTGTATTGGGAAACAATTTATAAAAACATGTAATCAAGAATATTAGATAAGAAGAATCAAATGATATCTTTTGCTTAATATCAAAATATGGTTGTTGTTAATGATCAAATTAGTTAATGTTGTTTTAATGCACTTTCTTAATCAACGTAACAAGTAAAAGTTAAGGTACCATAAAAAAAGTGTTGGGACAGTGGAAGTGAACAAACAACAAGACAATCACAATATACAAGGTTTACGTTGTTCACTCAAAATTTGGGCTACGTCCATGGAGAGAGGAAATTTCATTATAATGAATCAAGAAGAGAATATACAACTGTAGAGAATGCCCACTCACTTGCTGCCTCATAAGAAATTACACTAATACCACTCAAGCCTTTCACGGTCTACCACTCATCATCTGTGTTCTACCCCACACACTCATCATCTCTAACACCCCCACACATGTGCGCGCGCGCATGCACACTCACTAATTTCTATGAAGCTGGATCTCTCTACCCTTGGTGCCCCTTTGCACCCACCCACTCTCTTCTCTTCTCACTCACTATTCCATTATCTTTTCTTCTCTGCCTTCTCCACACACCTCCCTCTCTATTTATCTAGGAAGCACGGACACGCCTAAAAGGGCAAAGAATCAGTGTTGGACACCGACACGCACCGGACACACCTTGACACGTCTCGGACACTCCAAAAAATGTGTCCGACACGCCGTGGATATGTGTCCGACATACGTGTCCCATTCTTGGGGATTTTAAAGAAAGTTTTAGAAACAATGTTGAGTTGAAGTATAAATATTAGGAGTTGTTTAATAACTTTCAGCAATATGGTAAATTACATAATTACTTAAAAGTTTTTTATAAAACAATTTTGTATTAAAAAAATTAGATATTTATCCTTATATTTTAGATAGAGAGTTCCTATCTATTTAGGTTACCAATTTCTATGAAGCTGCATCTCTCACCAATTTCTTCTCTGCTTTCTCCACACAACTTCCTCTCTATTTATAGCGAGTTTCTAACCCTAGCTTGGTGAACAAGTAATACAAATCCTTGTTGGGAAAGGAAAGCAACTACTTGGGGATCAAGTAGAACATTCCTATACCAATAGAGCTCTACCCAACCCAATAAGAATATGAGACATTCATAACAAAAGGTAATACTTAAAAATTTTCTTTTGTTATCAGTGGGCTTTGTTGGCCAATCAGAGTTGATCTTTGGGCTGTGAGATTTTAGGAGAAGTTATAGGGTTGAAATATTCTTTTGCTACCATTGTCCTTGTTGGCCAATAACTAGGATATCTAGGTTGCATGAAATACACGCACACACGCATTCTAGATATAAAGATAAAATTTTCAAATGTAGTATAATGCTTTCTGAATTAATGCAAAAATTTAAAGACTTGATACCTTCTGTTTGATGGAAACGGATATTATACCCTATTTAAAATATGAATATATATATATAAAACACTTTGAAATAACATTTTTAAAATGCCTTTAATGTAGCGTTTTTTATTTTCTGTACAGAGCCTATTATTATTATTATTTGTAAAATTGTTGAAAATCAAGTTTCATCTTTTTGTTTAGAAGATTAAAAAGGTTTTTTAGTGCTTGTATTTGGAGAAAATTTCATACTTAATAATTTTATTAATATATGAACGTTTGCATTGCTCACAATTATTAATTATTGGAGAGGTGACTGTATAATCATCTACTATATAAAAGGTCATTGCTCAGTGTCTGTGCCGCCTACATGGGATATCGGAGAGAGAGATTGGAGATGGACCCTGCCTTGCATTATTCTGCACAAAGTAGTTCTCAAACTTGCATTCTAAAGCTTGTTGTCTGAACTTTTACAATTGCACCAAGCTATCGTCTATCTATGTCCTACATTTATAAATTCTTTTTTTTTTTTTTTCACTATACAATCTACTTTCTACTCTCTTTTATTATGTCTTTTGTCCGTGATGCATAGACAAATCAAAAGTGGTTGGAGTTGGAATACCCTATTCTTAGTAACTGGCAAAGTCACATCTTGAAATCTAATCATTATTTGGAAATACCACCTTTAGCTATAATATTCATTTGGTTGGTTTGGAATTCTTTTTTGTATAAATGCAACAGGTATCCTAAATATGAAAAAACTAAACGCCTATGGCCTATGTCAAGTGGCCGGCCATCCAAGGCTGATATTCCTAAATGCAGCAGCTGTGGTGGCGTTCGAGGATTTGAATTTCAGGTATGGAAGTATTATCCTTTGATATTTCATGTATGCAGTATCTCTAATTAATCTGGCGACCCCTTTGCCCCATCATTTCAGCATCATTGACCACTTTTTTGCTATTTGCTTATTACCTAGAATTTGATCTGCCATTAGATTCTTTGTCTTACGTTTCTATTTTATTGGTGGTTTTAGATTTTGCCACAGCTGCTTTATTACTTTGGTGTGAAAAACGAAGTGGACTCTCTTGATTGGGCAACTATTATTGTGTACACTTGTGAATCTTCTTGCGATGCAAGTTTGGCTTACAAAGAGGAGTTTGCTTGGGTTCAAGTTGCTTCCCAATCTGCTACAATACCTTGATTTTTACATGTTATTCTGGCAAGTCTCATATCCTCCATCGCTTCTTTGCTTTGGTTAAGTGCTTATTTTATTATCTTTTCTTCTTTCCTTGTTTCTTTTGCTTTTATATTTTAGTTTTTAAAATTTGAAATACTGACAATTGCCAATTATGAAGTAATCCTTTTTCTTTTTCTTTTTCTTCTCTCCTCCCCCCCACCCCCCCCCCCCCCCCCCCCCCCCCCCTCTCTCTCTCTCCACATTATCCCCCCTCCCGGACCCTCCTCATTTTTTTCCCCAGTTCCGAATAATCCGTTCATATAGTCTAGTGCCTTATCTTAGATAGTTGGTCTCAAGTCCGGAAAGATGAGGAGTTGTACTATTTTTTCGAACGGTATAAGGAGTTGTATTGATTTTGAGTCTTTCACCCCTATGATGATGATCTTGATCCATATGCCGAAACAAGTTGATGTAATTGACATCATATAGTTGGGAAAAGATATTGTTGAGTATAATTTAACTATGCACATGCAATCATGATCGGGGGCTGACCCAGACCATTAAATGAGGGGGGGCAAGAATGATGTATTTTAGTAATTTCGGGGGGGGGGGTGGGGGGGGGGGGTATATAACTGAAAAAGAACAATTTAGTAAGGCATATGTACACGTCACTATGTGCGATTTCACCCCACTAGGGGCGATTTGTGAGGCGATCTGTGTTTTTGGTTGTTTGGAATGAAATCTTTTCTGGATATCGCAAGGTTACCAAGAATTTCGCTTGGGGGAGATGTGAAGTCGGCGGTTCCTCATCGCGGTCCGTCGTTGTATATCGACGGGGAATCCGTCGGAGTAAGGATATCTGTTCTCTCCTCTTGTTTGGTAGGAAATTTGACAAGGAAGTGGGGAGTTGTGATCGCGTGAAAGAATGGGCAGCGAGGGCTTGGAATACGACTTGTGGAGTGGGGGTTTCACCGTTATCCGATTCAATGCTTCTTTTCCGGTTTCCTTCTCAGGCAGAGGCCAAACGTGTGTTGAAAGAAGGGCGAAGACAATGGGGTTCTGCAACTTTGAGGATCGATGTGTGGTCCTTTCGTGTTGGTTGCCGTGGCGTTCTCAGTGATCAAGGTCTCAAGCAGATCCGGTTGTTTGGACTTCCATTACATTTATGGTGCCATGCTCTGTTCGTCGAAGTGGGAGAACTTTGTGGTGGTTATGTCAGATCTGACGCGGATGAGACCAGGGATGCTGAAAGCGTTCGGATAATAGTACGAGTTGGTCGTGATTGTCCGAAGTTTGTGTATATCAACGACGACACTTTCTGCTACAAGGTTGCGATTTGGGAAGAAATTTCGCCGGAGCTTGTTCCTTCAACGGAAAGTCTTGAAGGCAATGACGGATCTCATCTTATGTCGGAAGAAAAATGGAACGAGCTTCTTAGCAAAGGTGAAGAAGGGATTCTCGAAATTCAACAGTGGCTGAAGGATCGTGAAATTCAGCAAAAGGTGAAGTTTATTGGAGGTAGACGATGAGGTGAGATTCACACGCTGAGCAAACGTGTCGTTGATGAGCAACACCGGTGTACACGTGGTGAACGGTGGGCTACCCCTTTAGATTCAGCTTTATCCTTATCTCTTGAAGATAAGGTAGGGAAGGATTATTTTCGGGCTGATAAAGGTTTTACTTTGGGCCATAAGTTATCAAGACAGGTCAGGAAATTTGGGCCTGATAATCATGGGCTCATTCAATCTCAACCTTACAGAGCGTATTTGGGTTCTGGGCCTGTTAGAAGAAGACTACAGAAAGGGCCACTTAGATTTGGTCAAACTGGGCAACTCCAAACTGGGCCTCTCAAGTCTGGGCCTATTAGAAAGGTACGAAAAGGGCCTAACTCATTATCTATCTCACTTACAAACATCAAACCTGGTCCTAATGAATCACAAGCCCATACCAAACCCTCTAATATTTGGATGAAATCCGAGAGGAGATTGACGAACGTCGGACGCCATGGATCTCGGTGGACTCGGAATGAAAAGCAGAAATGGGTCGCACGTTCTCGCACTTCTTCTCCAGGTTTGAGTCCTAATCTTTCTCTCAACACTCTTTCTACTTCTTCTCCTTCTTCTTCGGGTGAAGTGGCTAGCGACAGGAATGTTGCTGAGAATGTTTCGGGTCAACAGAGAAGTATCATTGGGATTTCGACTTCTAAATCAGAGTTGGACGTCTCAAAGGTTACTACCGAGAGTACGGGTTTTTTCAATGGAGTGACAGTTTGTGTTGGAAAAGATTTGCATTTCAAATTGAATAATGATTCAGCCGTAGCTTTGCTTAAAGAGCTTCGGCTATTTACTTCAGTTAAAGGTTTGAGCAATTTTTCATCTGAGCATGAGGAGTTTTCAGTAATCCCATCCAAAGAAGTTAATGCTTCGGAAATAAAGGGGATTTTACAGGAAAGAGAGGTTGATGTTGCTCTTCAGCAGCACCCTTTTAATGTATCTTTTTCCGGGACAGATCCTGTTCACGATGAAGTGGACTTTATGGAACCTTTGGCTGTTGTGCGGCCTGATTGTTTGGAGACAACCACTGATCTGGGCATGGAATGGGTCATCGAGAATGTTGGAGCAGTTAGTGAAGCTTTGGGTGTCTCTGCAGAAGGTTATGAGGAACAAACCCTGTGTATTCTCCACGAAATTATTGCAGGAAATGGTAGCAGTGAACCTATTCGTGACACAAAAGAAGTCAAAGTCAGAAATTCACATCGGAAAGGCGAACAGGAAGTGAAGAATTTGATTTCTTGTGTAACTACGATGGAAAGAATGGGTCGACCAAAGAAAGGGGGAGAACCAGGAGTGGTAAAAGGGGAGGAGGTGAATTGATTGTTTTTGGTTCTTCATGAAGCTACGACTTATAACATGGAATGTTCGTGGTCTTAATGACCCGAAAAGAAGAAGAGTTATCAAGGTCGCTTTGAGGAAGTGGAGTGCTCATGTTGTCTGCTTACAAGAAACTAAATTGGCTGATATTACTGTTGAGATTGTCAGGAGTCTTTGGGGATGTAGGTTTGTGGACTTTGAAGTTTTAAATGCAACAGGCACTTCAGGTGGTATTCTCCTCATGTGGGATCGTAGATGGTTGTCAAGTTTGAACTGTTGGAAGGGTATTTTCTCGGTGTCATGCATGTTTCAGATGGAAGAAGACAATTTCAAATGGACGTTTTCAGGTGTGTATGGGCCTGTTACTGATAGTGATAAACCAGTCCTGTGGGAAGAGCTTTGCTTTGTTAAGGACTTATGGTCATTGCCTTGGTGCTTAGGTGGGGATTTTAACTCTGTTAGATCCCCATTTGAGAGATCCACAGGAGGTAGGTGGTCTTCAGAAATGACCATGTTTTCAGAATTTATTGACAATAATTTTCTTATCGATCTTCCGTTGGAAGGAGCGGCTTTTACTTGGTCTAATGGTAGGGAACCGGTTACTTTTTCTCGATTGGATCGTTTCCTGATTTCTGGGGCTTGGGAAGAGCATTTCCCGGATGTCTCTCAGGCTGTGTTGGTTAGAGTCACATCTGATCATGTACCTCTTGTTTTGGATTGTGGTGGTTTGAGGTCTAGACGCACTCCTTTCAGATTCGAAAACATGTGGCTTAGATCTAAAGACTTTCAAGGGAAGGTTCAGTCTTGGTGGCAAAAAGGGTCTTTCACAGGCTCTGCTAGTTATGTGTTAGCTAGAAAGCTTCAGTTTCTTAAAACTGAGCTTAAGAGATGGAATAAAGAGGTTTTTGGGAATCTTGAATGGAAAAAGAATAGAGCCCTTGCTGATATTGCTGAGCTTGATCGTTTAGCTGAGGTGGGACAGAGTAGGGAGTCTTTACGCTCTCAAAGAGCCTCTTGTCAAGCGGTTTTTGCTGAGATTGCTCATATGGAGGAGATTTCGTGGTGTCAAAAGTCTCGGGCTTTGTGGTTAAAAGATGGTGATCGGAATACAAAATTCTTTCATAGACTGGCCAATGCTCACAGAAGGTGTAATCATATCGGAAGTATTCGGGTTAATGGTTTTGATTTGTGGAGAGAAGAAGATGTGCGCGGAGGAATTGCTTCTTTTTACCAGCAGCTTTACACTGAAACTTTGGATCGAAGACCTACTCTTGATGGTCTTCCATTTAATACTATTTCTGCGATGGATAGGGATAGTATTGAGATTCCATTCACGGAAGAGGAAGTGCTTAAGGCACTTTCTAGTTGCAACGGGGACAAAGCACCAGGGCCAGACGGATTTACTATGCGCTTTTTTAAGGAGAGTTGGGAGGTGGTGCGAGAGGAGGTGATGAGTACTTTTCAGTATTTTTATTCTCATGGCACATTTGAAAAATCTTTGAATGCATCTTTTATTGCTCTCATCCCTAAAAAGGGCGGTGCATCTGATATCAAGGATTTTCGGCCAATTAGCTTAATCGGATGTATGTATAAGCTTATTGCCAAGGTTCTTGTTTCCAGGATGAGTAAAGTGTTGGATGGTCTTATCTCAGAATCGCAGAACGCTTTTGTTGGTGGAAGGCAGATTTTGGATTCTGTTCTTATTGCTGGGGAATGTGTTGACTCTAGATTAAGAAGCGGGGTTCCTGGCGTTTTGTGTAAGCTTGATATCGAGAAAGCTTATGATCATGTTAATTGGAAGTTTGTTTTGTATCTTCTTCGGAGGATGGGATTTGGTGATAGATGGATAAAATGGATTGACACTTGTATCTCATCAGTTATGTTTTCTATTCTTGTGAATGGCTCTCCTGCGGGTTTTTTTGCTAGCTCACGTGGTCTGCGACAAGGTGATCCATTATCTTCTTTTCTTTTTCTCATCGTTATGGAAGGTCTGACTAGATTAATGAGAAAAGCGGAAGATTTGGGTTACATTAGGGGGTTCAGAGTTGGCAGAGATGTTGATCATCAGATCCAGATTTCCCATCTTTTATTTGCTGATGATACTTTGGTATTTTGTGATGCTGATATTTCTCAACTCAGATATCTGAGGTGCACTCTTGCTTGCTTCCAAGCAGTTTCTGGGCTTAAGATTAATGTCGGAAAGAGTGTGCTTGTTCCAGTGGGGGATGTTCCAGATATTTCCTCCTTAGCTGCTGTTTTAGGGTGCGGAGTTGGTTCTTTTCCTCTTCCTTATTTAGGATTGCCTTTGGGAGTTTCTTATACTCTGGTTGGGAATTGGGACTCAGTGATTAATAGATATGAGAAAAGATTAGCAGGATGGAAAAAGCAGTATCTATCTAAGGGTGGGAAAGTCACACTTATAAAGAGTACTCTTTCATCCCTTCCTACTTATTTTTTATCTTTGTTTCAAATTCCATGTTCTGTTGCTGATAGAATTGAAAAAATTCAGAGGGATTTTCTGTGGGGTGGAAGGGGAGAGGAGTTTAAGTATCATCTTGTTAATTGGGATCAAGTTTGCCAACCATTGAGATTCGGAGGGTTAGGCATTCGAAAAATTGTTCCTTTTAATCGTGCTCTCTTAGGAAAGTGGTTATGGCGATTTGGAAGGGAACGACATCGTCAGTGGAGAAGAGTTGTCTCGTGTCGTTTTGGTGAGGGGAGTGGGGGTTGGTCATCTCTTCCAGTCACTATTACGGGAGGCGTTGGTTTGTGGAAATTTATTCGGAAGGGATGGGATGTTTTCTCTAATCTTATTAGATTCAAAGTTCGTAATGGCAGGCATGTTCGTTTTTGGGAGGATCTTTGGTGTGGCGACCAGTTGCTTTCACACTAATTTCCTAGGCTTTATAGCATTGCAACTAATAAGCATGTTTTCGTGATTGATTGTTATCATCTTGATAACAATGGAGTTACGTGGGATGTGCGGTTTAGGCGGTCTTTTCAGGATTGGGAAATGGAGGAAGTTTCTGCTTTTTTGGATATTTTGTATAGGCAGAGGGTGTGATGATATTTTGTGGGTTCCTTTGGCTCATGGTCGGTATGATGTCCGCTCTATGTTTATTCATTTATCCAATTTCGTTGGTTCCGAGTTTCCTTGGAAGTCCGTGTGGTGTTCTAAAGCCCCTCTTCGAATCGCGTTCTTCGTTTGGACAGCTACATTGGGGAAGATTTTGACTTTGGACAATTTGAGAAAGAGAGGCAACATCATTGTTAATTGGTGTTGTTTATGCAAAGATGATAGTGAATCCGTGGATCACATTCTTTTGCATTGTCCAGTGGCGTTTGGTTGTTGGAGTTTTATTTTCAGCATTTTCGGCATTTTTTGGGTAATGCCTAAGCACTCCTCTCAATTGATTAACGCTTGGAAAAGCTGTCCTGTTAAGAAACAAGCTCGTGCTTATTGGAAGATTGTTCCTCATTGTGTCTGGTGGTGCTTGTGGCGTGAGAGAAATAACAGATTCTTTGAAGGAAAAGAATCGTCCTTAGCTAATTTAAAAATTCATATTCTTCGTTCTTTATTCTTTTATGTTAGAGGAAGTGCATGTTCCTCGATTGATGATTTCTTTGATCTCTTGGATTCTATTGGTCCTTAGATCTTTTCTCTTGTATTAGGGATGCGTTCCCCTTTTGAACGTTTTTCTAATATATTTTTACTTATCAAAAAAAAATTCAGGGGGGCCAATTGCCCCCCGATCTGTACATAGGTCCGTCCCCGATCATGATGTTTGAAGGTTTCTGACATTCCTGTTTGTTTGCATCGTAGTAAATTGCAATACCTCAAATTTTCTAGGCTAAAATTGTTCTGTAACTTTCTAAAATTTTACAAAAAATGATTTTTGACAGTTTAGCTTCCTTTACAGAATTTGCTTTTCTTGTGTTCCATTTTGGTATTATTAAGATTATGAATATTTTCCACTAACCTCTCCTCTCTTGAAGTGAACCTCCCAATGTGTTACAAACTTACTCTAGCCTCCCCTGTCGGACCTTGTTGTCAATGGGAAATATAGATAATTGAATGTGTAATATGATATCAAAGGCCTGATATCATCCGTTGGTCAAGCCACATTATGATGTTTTTCATCGTACTCATACACATGTAACTTCAGCTTCTCTTGTTCAATAATATTATGTTTTCTTGACTTTGCAGTTTTCCAGAATGACGACAGAGCTCGAAGATTTGGGATGTGATCTCATAACGAAGCACAGTAATCCATTTCTACAAGTCCATTGAAAATTTTGTTTTTTTGTCATATGGATGATTGCGTACTTACGAATTACAATCAACAAAAATTTTGCGAGTTCCTACCCTAGCTTGCTCTTTTTTTTTTTTTTTTTTTTTTTTTTGAAAGCTGATATGAATTTTGTAGTGAAAGTTACAATGAACTTGAAGTAGACGATTGCGTACTTGTGGATTACAATCAATTTTTTTTTTTTACAGAGATTGTATTCAAAGTCAAATTCGTGTTATGATTTTTTACAGAGACTAATTGTACATATTTTGTACGCCGTAGTATGGACTGTAATTGTTGTATCAAGAAATACCCTGGTTTTAATTCTCATTCCATGTGACAAGCTTTCTGTTGGATTTGAGTTTATCATTTGGAATGGAAATTAAAACCAGGGTATTTCTCAAAATATTTCTCAATTTTGAGAATTACTTTATTGCTCTGGTTGTTGTATCGCCAACTTATGTTGATGGCATAAAATTCTGAACCACTCACAAGGGCCTTAGAAGTTCTGTTGTTAGTGACCCCATAATTCATTGTGGAATAAACAACATTTTTTATTCTTCGCGGAGCTCTCCTTATCATCTTATCATCTTAGTCACATAATTCGCTCGAATGACTGACGCTTAAGAGCTCCGTGCGAGGATTGACGATTTGGGAGCGGATTCACTCCAAATTTGCAAACTCATTTTTAGAATTTGCTATTTGCGTAAGTCTGTGCTGGACTCGCCGGTCGTAAGACGCCAGTTACATGACCAGCCTTTCGGATTTGTTCACTTTTATGTAAAGAAGATAGAAGATGAAGACCGAATGCATATGTGTGTGTGTTCGCATATCTATGAATTGAACAACGAGTTCATATATGTTTAGAAATGGAGGAGATTGATAGAGGCCAGAAAATAGAGAAATACTTGGACCTTGAACCCACATGGATATAGACAAGAACAGGAGAAGACGAAAGCTTTCTGCTGTGGGAGCATACACCTTCCCCTGAAAGAATCATTTGGGGGGAAGACTTTGGACTGTAATTCTAAAACTTTCTGCCTCCTTTTTGTTGCCCTAATGGACTTGCTTTTTAGTCTTTATTTTTACTTTTGTTTAGGCCCGCTTCATTCACTTTAAATTTGGGTCTCATTCACTTTGAACTTCATTATTGTTTTTGGGCCTGATTCTGTATTATTTCAACTAATTTACTACACAATAATATATTTATAAATACAATATAAAAAATATATAATTAAAATAAATGCATCAAAAAATATATATATTTAGTAAATTAGTATAATAATATTTCACATAAATTCTCCCGCTTTCACCTAATTTTAGATTTTGCCATTCCCTAATTTTAGATTTTGCCATTCCTGTGCTCCCGCATCATGTGACTTGGCTTGTAACAGGAGTTCTCAGCTTGGTCAAAATGGCGCTATTTCCCGGTGTGAGTTCCCCTTATGCTCTCTCTTTCTTGTTCTCTCTGGCATTCGTCTTTTGTCTCTCTGTTTTCTTTCTCTGCCAACTTATGTTGATGGCACGGACAACATAGTATTACCTGTGCTGGGAGTCTTGGCATATGCGTGCATAAATATGAAATTTAAAGAGTATTTATAATAGGGAATTTAAAGAGGACACATCAATTGTTCAACGAATATATTTGGGTTTTAGAAAAAAGAAAAACTCTTTTTAAAAAATACAATAAATACACACTAGCACATATCACCATCAAATAAACACCAAACCCAACATAAATTTTAAATTTCTTTCTGAGAACATCCAAATAAAAGTAGCAAGAGCGATTTGCTTCGGTACCAATATGAAATTGAGTATGAAAGTAATCACTTCATTTAAATAATGTCAGAAGTTACATCTATATCCAAAACCCCCTCGCGTAATCATGTCCTCCTTAACTAATTTTACTCCAAGGAAGATCTGATAAAAGGCCGGCAAACCTCGATCTTCCAAAGAAGATTAAAAAAAAAGTATTCGATGTATATCATGCTAACAAATACTAAAATGATTACTTCTTCTAAGAGATATGCTTCTCGTAAGTAGTCATCATCTATACAATATTCAAAGAATATAGAATAATAGAAGATATCTGTACACATGAACTCCAAACTTTTGCTGGAACTGTATACTCGGAGTTGTAATCCAAAGTCTTCTGATGAAATTCTCTGTCGACAAAACTCTGTAATTCAAAATTCTTTGTTCTGTAACTGGAACCTTCAATACAACAAGATGTGATCACATCAAAGGTCATGACAATCTATTATGTGCTTCGATTATGGAAAGGTCATGACAATCTGTTATGTGCTTCGATTATGGAAACTCTCTCCTGCAAAAAAAATAAAAATAAAAGGGGGGGGGGGGGCAAAATGAAACAAAGTATAAAAAACACAATCCAATCATTATTTATAGCTTTTAAGGGGAAAATGTTCAAAAAAGTTTAGCTTATAGTGCATACGCATCCCTGAGGAAAGAACAGAAAGGAACATAACCATAGAAACAAAATGTTGTACTGTTAAAGAGAATTGCCTCAATAGGAGTTTGCAGATGCTCCATTTCTTTTAACATAAAAAGAAATACTGGTATCAATCTTCTAGATGAGAGATGGATATTACTAATTGAGATGACTTAATTGCTATATATATGTGTGTGCGCGCGCGTGTAACAACCCTCACCCTATCCAGACAAGATATTGTCCGCTTTTGGCTTCCTCGGACCAGAGATCCATCCTGGTACTACTTCAGGTTAAGCACGCTTAACTCCGGAGTTTTGGTAGATTCACGGCTATCACGGCTTTAAAACAGGTTGTGTCATAGAAAGGTGTAGCACCTACATATAGCACTTTACCTTTCTCAGGCGATGTGTGCAAGTGTTCGCCCACATCACACCCACCCACAGAGGTCGCCACAATCACCCACCATGGGGCCCAACATCCTCATTGGCCGCACTTCCGGCTGGGTTCCGGTTCTGATATCATTTGTAACCACTCTCACCCTATCTAGACACAATATTGTCCATTTTTGGCTTCCCAAGACCAGAGACTTCCCAGGGGGTTACCCATCCTAGTACTACTCCAGGTAAGCACACTTAACTCCGGAGTTCTGGTAGATTCACGGCCATCACGGCTTTAAAATGCGTTGTGTCATAGAAGAGTGTAGAACGTACATATAGCACTTTACCTTTCCCAGGTGATGTGGGATCATAACACCATGTAGCCTTCCAGTGCTCGCCCATATCACACCCGCCCACAGGTCGTCATAGTATGTGTGTATCTGGTTTCAATATTTGTCCATTTGATTAGTTTGTCTATTCCCCGCAGTTCAACTTCCTTTTGTTAAAAAGAGGGTTGCTATTGAATTACCAGAGAAGAAAGGAAGGTGGGTTGCTATTGTACCTCACTAGACTAAGACTAGGTTCTGTTTGTCTCTATGTAATACATTTTACATGTAAAATGTATTTCTTATTTTCCGGTGTTCGGTTCAAGTATATTTTAAAAGTACATTTAAAAAAACTTACATCCAAACCTCCTAATTTTAAGATATTTGAAAACTAGAACTGGAATGACCACAGTACATCAGTGTTGAGAGAGAGAAAGAGACTTCTTTTTTTTCCTAGTTGATACTCAATCCCCCACCCACCCCCAAGGAATTGTTTGCATTGAAGAGGGGTCAAACCTTAGACCTTATACTTCCTGAGGCACTAAGGCCAAGTTCTTACCCACCTGAGCCGAGAGAGAGAGAGAGACTTGTGTGTCCTTTTTCTTTTTTTTCTTTTTTTTTTCTTTTTTTTGATAAGTAAGATTTCATTAAAAGCTCAGATAATACACAAGGCGACAACTATAATTTCAAACTATCCAAAATATCCAAAAGATGCCCATAGATTTACTATTATGTCCACTAACCCAAAAGAATAGAAGTTAGTATATTGTATTCAAAAGAACACCATAAACAAAGGACCTCATATTCCTCTCGCACCACAAATCCCACCATAAACAAAGGGAAATGGCCCTCCAAGAATTTCTGGTTTGACCCTTCGCTATACACCCTCTCCAAGCCTCTATCATGTCCACCGTGGAACTAGGGGACACCGAAAACATACCAAAATGCAGCCAAAAACATAGACCAAACATCCCTAAAGAGAGGGTGATTCACTATTTCCTCCATCTTCTTGCACATGCAACACCAGTTCACTACAATATGTCATCTCCTTCTAAGATTTTCAAGAGTGAGGATGCTTCCAAGAGCAGCTGACGAAGCAAAAAAAAGACACCTTCAAAGGGGCTTTTGACCTCCATTAGCATTCCAAGGGAACGTAGGACCTGGGATCTCCAACAAGCTCTAGTAGAAAGACTTAACCTCGAAGGCCCCTCTCGGGGTACCCACCCAAACCCTCTCATCCAATCATAGAAACCTACGAGGTGAGGAAACCCAATCATGGAACTAAGAACTTTTCTACCTCCGTAAATTCCCAATCATGGAACTCTATAAAACTGCACGTCGCAAGTTATCCTCCTGCTATCGAGTTGATAATAGTCAGCAACCAGGGCATGTCTATTCGTAGAAATCCTGAAGAACCGAGGAAAGCTGCGAGCAAAACCAATGACCCCATACTAGTGATCCTCCCAAAATCTGACGTGCCTCCTGCTCCGTACTCTCATCCAAATTCGTTTGAAAAACTCATTCCAACCCTATTGAATTAGCTTCCAAATTCCCACTCGCTGGAGATCTCAGCTCCCTAGACAACCACCCTCCATCACCCTCCCTACACCGACAAGCAATGAACCCCTACATAATCAGGACCTCTCTCCCCAAAATCTCCAAAGCCATTAGCCCAACAAAGCCTTGTTGAAAAATCACCGAGTGGTATTTGAACTCATCTCCCATACCACCCCACATAAACTTCCTCTGCATCATATCAAATCTCCCAACAATAGACATGGCTCCAGCCCCACGTGAGTTCCCATTCCCCGGTCAAGTAGTTCTGCAGCATCAACCATGCGCCACCTCTTTGTGAAATGAGATTCGAATTCTAGGATCATAAGTCATTTTTACGCAAATGGTGTAAAATATGTTTCTTAATTCTTAGTGCAACCAAACACCAACAAATATGGAAACATCATAATAAATGGAGCTTATGGGAAAAACAGCCTTCAATAATAGCGTCCTAAATTGCAAAAGACAAAGAAGGCAACAAAAGCAAACAATCTCCGACAGTTGGTCCTCACAACAATTACTCGTAAGAAATTGCTCACGCTGAGAAGCTACTACGTGAAAATACAATGTCAACATTTAGGTTACTCTATAGTCTCTCTCTCAACAGCCAATGTGGCCTTTTATGGACCACTAAAATAGGGCTGACAAGTAGATAGCATAGCTTAGATGATTTTTTAGAAACTACACTTGGAATTTGTTTCAGTTAGCGTGTATAGCTGAATGTACAGCTGTTATCTATTAAGAGTTATAGCTGTTATCTATTAGGAGTTAGCGTGTATTAGCTGTTATCTATTATGAGTTAGCGTGTATTAGTTGTCAAATTAATTGTATAGTTGACTTACCTTGAATAGGTCTGTGTATTCTGTATAAATACCCTTAAGATATATGAAAGATAAATAACTTTTTCTGCCATTATCTATTTGGTATTAGAGCTGAAAAAAAAAAAAAAGAGGAAAGGAATTTCCGCTGCTTTCTTTTCTTTTCTTTTCTTTTCTTTTGCTGCTACTTGTCTTCAATACCTCTTAGCCACGATCCATGGCAGCCAAAACAACCACTAATTCTTCCTCTCTAACTAAAAATTCATCTGACAGCAAGAAGTTCTCCACGATGACTATTCACGAAACTTCTTCTCCTATTCCTATTAAATTGGATGGTGCTAATTATCGTGTTTGGTCTCAAATTTTGGAGATGCATATTGCTGGTAGACAGAAAAAAGGGAATATCACAGGGAGAAAGGTTGCACCTGCAGAGGATGATCCAAGCTTTGATGAATGGGAGGCTAAAGATGCCCTAGTCAAGTCTTGGCTTATCAATTCCATGACGGTAAATCTAATGTCCCACTTTGTGCAGTGTGGAACAGCCAGGGAGGTGTGGGATGCGGTAAAGAGAAGCTATCTTGATGTCTCTGATTCTTCTCAAGTTTATGAACTGATGAAGAAGTTCTTTCAATTGCGTCAGGATGGTCGGCCTCTTGTAGAGTACTACAATGAGCTGAACTCAATCTTCAAGTAACTTGATTATCGAAGACCAAATGATATGACGTGTGCAACTGATATAGAGAAACAGAGGAAGCGTATTTCTAAGGATCGGGTCTATATGTTTCTTGCAGGTTTGGATCACAGTTTGGATCAAGTTAGTAGTCGTGTTCTAGCTACCTCTCCTTTACCAAGCCTAGAAGAAGCATATTCCCTAGTTCGTCGTGAAGCACAGAGACAGGTCACCATGGCAATAAAGGATCACTCAGAGGCCTCGGCTCTTGCTGTCCAAAGGAGTTCCCGACCAGCTCCTCCTTCTACCGACTCTAGTTCTCGTCTCTGCAGTCACTGCAATAGTACGAGACATATGGTTGATGTTTGCTGGAAGAAACATGGTTATCCGGAGTGGTTCAAGCTTAAGCAAAGCTGAGAAGAAGAACAAGAAATTTGCTCAGGTTGCTATCACCGACACTTCTCTATCTTCTGCTTCTCATGTATCTCGAGTGTCTTCTCAAGGAGGTAATTCTGGTTTGGCCTTTATTTCTACTGCTTCTAACACTTGGGTTATTGATTCAGGGGCCACTGATCATATGACTAGTAACTCTTCCATACTTCACTCTCTAATACCTTCACCTGTTAAGTCTGTTCAGGTTGCTAACGGGACTCCTATGCCAATTACAGGGCTGGGAATGTCTCACTTTCTCCTACATTCTCCATGTCTTCAGTTTTACTTGCACCTAATCTCTCTAACAGCCTTCTTTCCATTAGCAAAATTACCAAAAAACTTAATTGTTCTGTAACTTTTCATTCTACCCATTGTGTGTTTCAGGACAATCTTACGAAGATGACGATTGGCATTGGTAAGGAGAGAGGAGGTCTTTACTACTTGGAGAAGGGGGTAAGGGAGTTAAAATCTGAACCTAGCCGTGGTTTTCAAGTAAAGAGAGAGTCTGATAGAGAGAAGATATTTTTATGGCATTGTCGTTTGGGACATCCATCTTTCTCTTATTTAGAACGTTTATTTCCTAAGTTATTTTGCAATATTTATGCTTCTAGTTTAGCGTGTGAACAATGCATTTATGCTAAAAACCATCGTGTTCCTTTTAAAGTGAGTTTCAATAAAAGTCCTATTCCTTTTCATG